TATTTAAACTGAAATATATCTCAGACATATATTTCTAATAGAAAAACAGAAGTCGCTGGGAACACTCAGCAGGTCAGGCAGCATCTATGAAGAAAGGAAAGTGAGTAAACGTTTCGAGTCCACGACCCTTCGTCAGAACTTTGTTTTGGGTCGTGGACCCGAAACGTTGACTCACTTTCCTTTCTCCATGGATCCAGCCTGATCTGCTGAGTGTTCCCAGAGATTTCTGTTTTTGTTCCAGATTTCCAGCATCTGCAGTATTTTTTGCATTTTGTATATATTTCTAATACTTGGTTTTGAAGTTCCTGAGGTACCTCACATGGCTCCCCAAATTTATTGTCTTGTTAATTTGGGAACTGTGTTTAGGATTGAACTTTGGTGTATTGTATTAAGAAGCAAGACACAATGTCCTCAAATTGAGCAAGATTAGTCTCTCAGTTTTTGTTGTGCTTTATTCCATGATTCTGGTCTCAGAGATAGAGTAAAATATCATTTGGTTACCACTTTTTCATACATTACTTAAGTGGTGTGAAAACCTTTAAAGGTGCTTTGTAGGGAATTGGTGAGAGAGAACTACCTACTTGCTGTATCTTATGTCTGTCAGGTCAAGAGAAATTGAATATAAAATAAAAATAATCTGGTATTTAGTCTTGGAGCTGCTAAGGTGTACTGCTTCCTAAGTTTATTGCTCACATTTTGGGTTAATTTGGGAGCACTCAATTGCATTTCTGTGCAATTTCTTTGGATTATGTATTTATCCAGACAAATTCTAACCTGAGGGTAACCTCGACAAAGAATATTTAGCTCACTGCTGGACTCTTACCATTATATGAATCACTTATTAAGAGACAAGGACATTTGCACAATATAGCAACTAATTACTAGATTACAAATGGCTTTTCCATTTTATCAACATGTCTGCGATAAATGTCCAGAAATGGAGAAAATTAATTGTTTTCAGTAGTTTCATTTTTAAATGATGGTGATAATGGCATTCTATTTAAGCAGGCCTAAATTACCCAGGGGTTTCAGTAGAACTTGGGTCACAGACATCAACAGATCCTCACCATCGGATTCCCTATAGCAATGTGCTCTTTGTGCATCCCAGGCTCTTTTTAGCACTTTTCAAGCCTTCCCGATGCATCATTTTTCCATTCCATTTGCAGAGCCATTGGTGGCTTCTCTCATTAATTAAATCTTCAGTGGTGACTGTCCTCCCACTGTATTCTCCTCTCAGAAACTCCCTCCTAGATCTAGCTGCTATGTTGCTAAAGCTGCACTCAACCTTATTTTCTGCTCCAATGCAATATGTTTATTGTAAAAAATTGCACTTGTACATTTCTACAGCAGAAAGATATTGAATAGCCTTCCCAATGTTGTGAAACAAGAATACACAGAGCACAGTTCTTGTGTATTGAATTTATTTATTCATCTCAAAGCATGAGACTACAGTGTTCTTTTCTATTGTTAGAAATTCCTATATAAACCTGGCTTAGGTACGTTCTGTTTAATCCATTTATGTAAATATCATGTCTGACAAGTTCCCCTATCTACTATGACAGTGAATTTATTTGTTGTAGTCAGATCATTCTTAGAATATTAGACAGATAAAGTACCTAAGTAGTATAGCAGTTGAATATTTGACTTTCATTTGGAAGTTAATGAGTTTCAAACTCTAATCTGTTCCCTTCTTTAGTTTGCTGATTTTTTTTTTGAGGTTTGTCAAACAGTGAGGCATTGAGATCCAATTTCAGTGGAAAGAGGAACTGGTAATATTCAGCTTGAACTGTACCTCAACTGACAAGAAAATGAGTGAAGCTGTTGGACAAATTTGCTGCAATATTTTTCCTCCTGGCTGGTGCAAGCTCAGAAGCCTATATGGGGATAAAAAGTGCCATATATTTGTTCAGTGTTCATCCAAAACTAGGAGTCTATTCTTGCAAACTGAATAGCTTCCTAGTTTTGGAAAACTGAAAAAAAAATATTTGGTCAGTCAATCCATGACCGTTTGTGGGACATTGCTCTGTGCAATTGGCTGCTGCATTTTGCCTACAAAATACACTGTCAATTCACTTTACAGTATATTCCATGAAGTGCTTTGGGTCGTCTTGAAGATGTGATGAGGCGCTATATCAAATGCAAGTATTATTATATTATAGTGGTTAATGGCAAACAGGAAGACGTTCAAACCAATATTTTGATATTTTCCTCATAACCGAAATATGGAATTGTTTTATATCGCCAAATGCCAGCCAAAACCTCATCAGATTAATATTATGTATGGGGAAAAAAACTTGCATTTTTATTGTACCTTATGTCAATTCTCAATGTTTTACAGTAATTATTTTAAGTGTAGTGAGTGTTTTTATAGATAACCACAACTACCATGCTGCACACTTCAAGGTCAGGAGGTAATTGACCAATTAATCTGGAAGTTTGTTGTACAGGTCACTGGAAGAAACTGCTTTCTTTTTTCATATAGTATCTTGGGGTTGTGTAGTTGATGGAACCTCAGATTGGTCTTATTCAAAGGACGACATATATGATATTACAGCCTGAACTATGAGCTCAAGTCCCAACTTGGGGCTTGAACCCCAGAGACGAGAGTCTTGTTAACTGAAACGCTGATGCCTACACAGCTACACAAGAATGTATTCTGCTGTAACTTTAAGCATCTTGTCTGAGAGATGATTCTTCCAACAATGCAGTCCTTCTTCCCTAGTCCTGCAGTCAAGTATTACCTGGAGTTAAACAATACTAATTCTATGATTCTATTTTGTAGGGCTATGGGGAGAGAGCGAGTGAGTAGGATTGAATTGGATAGCTCTTCAAAGAGCCGGCACAGACACAATGGGCTGAGTAGCCTCCTTCTGTGCTGTTTAATTCTATGATTCCATGATATGTGTCAGTAACTCGGAAAAGGTTTTCCAGTTAATGCTAAAACATGTCATGGCAATTTTATGAATTGAATGTCACTCTTTCTACAAGAGGATGTATGTCATTTTACGTTACTAAATTATCTCATTTATGCATTTGACTGTGAAAATAGCAATTTAAGCCAGTGAATGTGATATTCTAATTAATAATCTTGACCTTCAAATTTAACACTGCATGTGGTGTCAGTATCTAGTTAGAGCTCACTGAAATAAGCTGTTTGTTTGACTCAGTGCACAGTTCAACAGGGGCCACGGAGCTCTCAGGAATATAATCAGCAGAAGCTAATGTTATGAGTGTGGTGCAAGTGTTGTGTCAGAATGCCATGCAGTCATCATCACAGTGTTTTTTTCTGTCTCCGTGATCTTGCATTTTCTGCTAAACAATGGCCTGATGGAACTTTTTAGTAATAGGAATAGATGGTGAAATGTACAAAAACTAATTATGGAACAAATATAATTCGCTAGTACTGCCTTGACCTTAAACCCCATAGAATTAATTTCTTAATTACCCTTGTGCCATTGTAAGTTCAATAATGTTCTCTAAATACAATTTCAGCCAAATGTGAGGATATTTACTGTGCTGTTGTACAACTGCCCCCTTCTCAGCATCGGCGAGTCACTGACAGAAACTGGGTGTACTCGGGTTAGTGAGGGGCCACAGTAGATTTTATTTGTGTAGATAACAATGAAAATTAATTTTGGTGCAGTTTATAGTTATTTACTCATAATTTCTACATGCACTATAATGCAATACAGCATGAAAGGAAGGGAGTGTTCTAGAAGGGCTTTTGGATGTTCCTTGTGATTATCTCCAGTCAGTAATACAGTGGAGCCCATTGTGGTGGGGATCCAAAACAAAGTGCTTGTTTCATTGACAGATATTGTGAGGATATTCACAGTGCTGATGTTATGCTCTTTTGTTCAATTTCACAACCTATTCCTATTACTGTTAAAGGTTCTCGCACTAAAAAAAAGGCCAACTTGCAGGTCATCAGGTTATATCATCCAGAGTATTTCTGACTGCTGCGAATGCGCAGAGCTGGCAAAGCAGCGACCTGATGCCCTATTTTTCACATGGGAAACTCAAATGTCCAATTAACAGCTTTTCAAATTTCCTTTGCTTGTTGTACACAGCCTGAAAGAAGTGATGTTGGTAATGACCAAATAGCTTGTGAAAGCTGAACGAACGGGGTCCACTCTACAACCGCGTTTTAACCAAATTGACGTGACAAAGAAATTGTTACAGTGGACCACACTTATTCAGAGTGACCAGAAACTTGTGATAACTACCCTATTATCTTAAAAAAACTAAAATACCATTATTTCTTTAAGACTTATTACACATTGTAATGGTATCACAATGTTGTGTTCGCCCTGTATTCTGGAAATACTGGTACGGCTGTCAACTGGATGAACACCTGGTGGAAGTTGGTCTTCCCTGCCATAGATTCACAAGCTTTTACAGTTGGATAAGATGTTGCTTGTAAAGCTTATTTGACTGAGTAGTTTAAAAAAAATGTTTTACTTAATGGCTAGCCACTGAGATCACTTGATAATTGAGAAGCATTATTGAATCAAAGCAACTAGCAATACAGCAGTAAGTATTTTCAGGGAAGAATTCTAAAGGAATGAATGAGATTTTAAAAAGGTCTGTAAATTAACTCAGGGTGGCCCAACTGGCGGTCTGGGGGCTGATTTGATCCGACTCACCCCTCCCTCCATATCATTTGGCCCACTAACTCCCTCCGTAACGTGTAAATGTTATGTTTCTGGAAAGGCGACACAAAAGTATTGCTCGTGTGCCCCGAGGAAATTACTCAAATAGGGCATCTGGCCCCCAGCAGCCAAAAGGTTGGACCACCCTGACTTAACTCTTTCATTAATTCAATGATACAGCTATAAGCACAGTTCAAATAATTTTTGCAATTTTTGCATTTGAGTAAAAAAAGCTAATGGACTCTGTGTGTAGTGCACTATAATATGTTCTCAGGTGCTCATACTACTTTGTTTTTTTTCTTATTTTCCTTGCTTATTGACTCTTTTGTTTTATTTTGTCCCGGCCAGAAGGAGAGGTGGAACATTTTGATGTTTCCAGCCTGCCTGAAGAAGTGCTGCGGAACATTGAAGCTGACAGCTTCTGGTGCATGAGCAAGCTGCTTGATGGGATTCAGGTAAATTGATTCCTCCTGTCTTGAACCGGTGGGGATAACTGATTAATTTCATGGTTGACAGTGTCTTGGGGATGGCAGGAAAAGAATATGTGCAGAAGTAGGGAGGCCCTGGTCCCTTAACAGAAACATGCCAATTGGTGCAGTATAACAAGAAGAATGATAAATATGTTCATTTGTCCAAGCAAATCAATGCTGTCACTTCATCATGAAATGCAGCAAGAGAAATGGGACTTCTGTTGCTTGCTCTTCCTCTGAGACTATGTTTTGAACATATGTTGAATGTTATAAAAGCAGTATCTTGTAGTATCTTTAAAAAAATTGATTGAAAACTATATGCAAAAGCTACACATTAACCTATTGCCTACTATATTTGGATTTCTATAGTGTAGTCCAACCTTTTGTGATATATTCAATAAATGTGCTGACATTGAAAAGAGCTGATTATATATATCCAGAGATGCATGGAATTAAATGAAATTGACTGTAGATTGAGAAGACCCTTAGCTTTTTGGATATTGAATATTGAGTAACTTTTAATTGGTATTAAATGTTTACAGAAATTAAGTTTAAAAAAAAGTTAGCAACAGAAATTAACTTTAAATATACTGACCTAAAGTGATTTTCATGTGCTCATATAATTTCAAAAGCTTCAATCGACGGTGACCAGATCAGGCAATGCATCGTACATTAAAGCAACCCAGCATCGATTAAGCATTTATCCTGCAGTGATGTGTTTAGTTTTCATCCCAAACTTCATTTTCAAGATGGTTTTGCTTGGCAGACTCCAAAGCGATATAGGTTCAGGTTAAAAATCCAATTTTGAATATTAGTGTCGAATTGGCACCATTTGTTTTTATGTTTGCATTTCTTTGTTCCTGTACAGTCTCTCTGATGTGATTTCTGGCCTAAGTGTAAAGTGTAATTCTGAGTGATGTCTTATAAATGACAGTGGCAAAGAAAACCACTTGATCACCATGATTAAACCTACAATGTGTTCCCTTATTTGATTGGAAAATATTTGCTATTTGAACTACATGCAAATAATGAAGTAGTAATCTATTTTCTGTTGTTGATAACTGCAGCAGTGTGATCATGCACTATTTTAATAACCTATTGATGCTGTTGCACTTCTCTACTGGATGTTTTATAAAATATTTCTGTTGGTGAGGAAAGGTAATTGTTTGGAACTAACCTGATTTATATATGTAAAATTAATCCTAGTTAGCACACTTCATAGATATTAATTTTAGGATAATTGATATATCCTTCTAGCATCATAAATATAGACTGTATTAAATTCTAAGAAACAGTCTTTTGCAAATGACTTAATTTGCAGAATTAGATTCAATTTTATTCCTAATAGTATCATCACATACCCTACGTGTGTCATAAGTGTGGGTCCTAGAATATTTGAGTTGTAGGTGAAAGTATAATATATTATAATTGGTATGTATCATGTATATTGCACTAAATTATTTGATTTCATATGTTGCCATCTTGACATTTTAATCAAATTTAAATGTTTTTATTTCTGATAAAATTTATTCTTCATTAAGTTACCTAACTTTTTCTTCTCTTTGGTATTCTGCACTATACTAACCTGCCCACTCCCGGCCTGCTTCATGCCCCCCCCCCCACCCTACCCACCTCACCATTAGCAGTTGGCTTATCATAGTATTATACAGTACAGTATTTGGAGGCCCTTTGGCTCATCGTGTCCGTCCCTGCTCTTTGAAAAAGCTATCCAAATGAATCCCGCTTCCCTCTCTCTCCCCATAGCCCTAAAAAATTGTCCTCCCGAAATATCTATCTACTTCTCTCTTGAAAGTTGTTATCGAATCAGCTTCCACCACCCTTTCAAGCAATACATTTCAGATCCAAGCAACTCGCTGTGTGAAAACATTTCTCCTCATCTCCCCTCTGGTTCTTTTGGCAACTATTTGAAATCTGTGTCCTCTGGTTACCGACCCACCCGCCAGTGAAAACAGTTTTTCCCTTTTCACCCTATTGAATCCCCTCATAATTTTGAACATCTCTATTAAATCTCCCCATTAAACTCTGCTCCAAGGAGAATAATCCTAGCTTCTCAAATCTCACCACATAAGTCCCTCATTCCTGGTACCATCCTGGTAAATCTCCTTTGCACCCTCCCAATTCCTTGACATTCTTCCTAAAGTGCAGTGCCCAGAGCTGAACGCAGTACTCTAGCTGAGGCCTAACCAATGTTTTATAAAGGTTCATCATAACCTCCTTACTTTTGTATTCTCTGCCTCTATCTCTAAAGCCTAGTATCTTGTATGTGTTTTTTAACAGCTTTATCTACCTGGCCTGCCACCTTCAAAGATTTGTTTATATGAACCCCCAGGTCTATATGAACCCCCTTTCAGATTGTACCATCAGCTTATATTGCCTCTCTTTATTCTTCCTCCCAAAATGCATCACTTCGCATTAAGTTTGCATTAAATTTCGCATTAAATTAAATTAAACTCTGCATTAAATTTCATCTGCCGTGTGTCTGCCCATTTTATCAGTCTGTCTATATCCTCTTGCAGTCCGCCACTATCCTCCTCATCATTTACTACTTTTCCTAACTTAGTATCTCTGAAACTTGGAAATTGTACTCCCTGTACCCAAGTACAGGTCATTTATATAGATTAAAAAGAGCAGTGGCCTATCTGCCCACGCTCTCTGGAACTCTATCCCAGAGTCCATCCAATTTGCTCCCTCCCTCACCTCTTCCGGGATGTCTCAATCCTTTATTCATTGAATGTATCTTCAGTCATCTTTCCCTTCCTTTCCCTATCCCCCCCCCTCCTCGCTCCCTCCCTTCCCTCCCCTCACCCTGACCATTTCCCCCCTGCTCGGGTCATGACCCAACTGTGCAGCGCCTTGGGACGTCCTCCTGACGTGAAAGGCGCTTTATAAATGGAATCTTGTTGTTGTTGTTGTATCCCTCGCTACTCCCAGCCCCAGCTTGTGTGCCAAGCGATTTGAGATGTCCTCCCAATGTCAAAGATGCTATATAAATGTAAATTTGCGTTGTTGCACAGGTAAAGGAAAGGGATTGTATTTTACATTGTTGGACTTGAAAACAACAGTTGTTAAGCTGCTGAAAATTGCAGTTCCCAGCGTGTTTTAGACTGAGAAGCCTGCAATTTAAATTTGGGATGGCTGCTGTATGAAGAAACCTTACGAAATTTTTTCAATGAATTTGGAGTACAGAGATACTCTGTACAACACGATTATCTGTTCCATTTTTCAGTAAATATCAGACTTGTGGATCATCGGGTCAATGCTGATGCCACTTCCTATGTTTCAAGTGATGTGTACAGAAGTGCCACCAATGTCACTTCCTGTGAGTTGTGTACGTGGGTGATGAGCGCTGTTGACATCACTTCCTTTGCAAAATGACATCCGCAGTATTTTCTGCACATAGTATACATGCGCAGCATGCAGGAAGTGACGTCAGTGACACTTCCTGCATTTAGCATGCGGGTGCAAAATGTGCAAAATGATTTAGAAATTGACCATTATTCGGTCCACTGGACACCAGCACTATAAATTAAATCTATGCAAAACGGGGCGGCATTACAATGGGGTTGCCCTGTAATTGAATTAATAGCTTATCGGTTAAGATACCACAAATTACATATTCCTATGTAATTCTTTATTTTTTTTGTTATTCAGTATGGTGTTTTGAAATTATTACACAGCCAAGGAGTGAAAATCAGGCAGATTTAAATTTATATTTTCATGATTTTCATGATTTTCATGATTCTGAACGAATGACAAAATCGATGCATACGATTTGTCGTCAATGAAGAATACAGCCTTTTCTCTGAGTGCCTGAACTAGACTGGGAAATATGATTTCACTGTACAGTTCCTGTGCAGCAAATACAAAATTAAGTGTAGAACTCTGACTAGATATAACCAGTTTTGTTTTAATTGAAATGTTATGATCTAGCATTCGCAGGTAGTTTCTGAATTTTCTACAGATACGTATAAAAACAGAAATTTGCCTGTGGAAATATTGCTTTAAATGCTGGTGACTTTAAGTAGCAACTCGGAGCATAGATATTTCAGCACACTTCCTCTAACACTGAGATCAAGGAGTAAATTGATTTGTTAAGGAATATGAAATTATTTATGCAGTTTGTGCAAGAGGGCAAAGTGTCACAAAATTAATTGGACAAGAAGAACTGAATAGAACCATACCACAGGAGCTTGTGCAGCTGCTAAATCTGTACTCTGTCATCTAAATAGAACAGATGAGCAGAGTTGTTGGAAATATAATTTGTACAGAAGGCACAACAATCACCCATGGATACACAAGACAGCTTTCTGGTTTACTGAAGGAATATATATGTATGTCACATAGATTGAATTAAAAAAAACTGTAAGATGGGAAAAGGCCATTCGGTCTATGGCCTTCAGTCGTGCACAGACGTGCAGTTTAATTTATCGTGAACTCTATTCCACTTCTTAAGTCTCTTAACAATAAGTTCCACTTAATCTTTCCTTGATCCCCTAAAGTAATACTGAAATTCGTGTCTATCTCACTTCACAATTCATTCAGCCCAGGGTAGTTCATTGTCTCTACAACATACATTCCTATTTTGAGTTATACACTTGGTCTTTTTCAAGAAGTTAATTGACACTTCTTTAAGTGTTTTTGGGAATGTGCTACATATCCAGTACTTGGAAATTCCGCTTTCTATTCTTGCTTAAGGCTTGTTACTTTTGTACTACGAGTCCTGTAGTTCTATGCTTTATTCAAATGAAGCCTTATAGAATGGAAGTAGTAATACTGCAAGTTTGAAAGAATGACAGTTGTTAAGTGGTACTCTGCACCATCAAGAAACACTGCTGCGAAAGTTTGGAATCCCTGTAATATGGGGTAGATTGAGTAGGAGATAGATATTGACAGTTGTCAATTCTCCTTAAGAGGTTAGCCTCTTGTTCTGAGGACATGTAACTTCCTTCTTGTAATTTCAGGTG